CTAAATGTAGGTTCTTCTTTATGCACAGAAATTTATTTCTTGACTTCAAAAGTACATATTTGAAATGATCTAAAGACACTCTTTTACAGGCAGCTCAAGATAAGTTCCTAATTAGAAATGTATTCACAGACACACATTTAGTTTTCATTCTTTATCAGAAACCCAAATTATTCTGAAATGGGGAATTTTCTTCGCCTTCCCTACCTGTGTTCTGGGGTAGGAATTTGGGGATAATTGGTTTCAGGAACTTGAACTCATTTGTCCCAGGACCTCTCGACAGACACACCTCGTACTGGTAGCTCTGGGACAGGGTCCCGGTGCCGCTCACGTCCACTAGATGCCCCGGAAAGGGACCCTCGGGCACCGAGCAGCGACCCACCGACGCCGCCCGGCTCCTCCTGCACAGCCGCACCGCCACGAACAGGAGCACCGAGAACAGGAAGAGCGACGACACCGAGGCCAACGCCACCACCAGGTAGACGGTGAGCGAGTCGGCCTGGGCCTGGGCCGGGGCCGCCTCCGGGAGCGGCAGGTAGGGCTGGGAGAAGCCGTCCACCAGGAGCACGTGCAGCGTGGCGGTGGCCGAGCGCGGGGGCTCGCCATTGTCCTTGACCAGCACCACCAGCCTGTGCTTGGCCGCGTCGCGCTCGCTCAGCAGCCTGGCGGTGCGCACCTCGCCATTGTGCGCCCACACGCCGAACAGCCCGGGCTCCGTGGCCTTGAGCAGCTGGAACGACAGCCAGGCGTTCTGGCCCGAGTCGCCGTCCACCGCCACCACCTTGCTCACCAGGTAGCCCGGCTCGGCCGCCCGGGGCACCAGCTCGGTGCAGGGCGCGGAGCCGTTCTGCAGCGGGTACAGCACGAAGGGCGAGTTGTCGTTGGCGTCCAGCACCAGCACGCGCACCAGCGCCTCGCTGCTCAGCGCCGGGGAGCCGCGGTCTGTGGCGCCCACGCGGAACTCGAACGCCTGCAGGGCCTCGTAGTCCAGCGCCCGGAGGGCGAACAGGTGTCCGTTGTCCGCGTTGATGGAGACCAGGGAGGCGAGGGGCAGGTGCGGGTCCTGGGGCGGCAGCAGCGAGTAGGTGACCTGGGCGTTGCTGCCTGAGTCTCTGTCTGTGGCGCTGACGCTGCCGATGTGCAGGGCGGGGCTGTTGTTCTCGCGGACGAACAGGGTGTAGGAGGTTTGTGTGAAGGCGGGGGCGTTGTCATTGACGTCGGAGACCAGCACGGTCATATTGAGCTGTGTTGTTCGTTTGGGTGTCCCTAAGTCAGAGACTGTAATAGTGATGTTGTACTCCGCCTTGCTTTCTCTGTCTAATGGTCTCTCTGTTAGTAGGGTGTAAAAGTTTCCCACAGAAGATTTCAGGAGGAAGGGTAGATCATCCTGAATGGAGCAACTTATTTTCCCATTTTCTTCTGAATCAAGATCTAAGACACTGAAAAGTGCAACCACAGTTTCAGGCGCATTCTCAGGTATTGGGCTGGTAAATGCAGACATGGTAACTTCTGGAGCGTGATCATTCACATCCATCACTTGAATCAGAACGGTACATTTTCCAGAAAAGCCTCCAGCATCTCTTGCCTCGATATTGATTTCATAGGAGTGAAGTTTTTCGAAATCAAGTTGTTTTTCTAGTCGAATTTCTCCCGTCAAGGAATCGACCTTAAAAGTTTTGCTAATCTCGTCTGAAGCTTGGAAAAGTGAATAGGAAATCTCTCCGTTGACTCCAGTATCTGCATCCGTGGCAGAGACCTTGATAACCAGGAAGCCTATTGGACTGTCCTCAGAGATCTGCACCCTATAGAAAGGCTGCTCAAATTCAGGGGCATTATCATTGAAGTCCACAACTTCAACGTAGACCTGAGCAGTGCCAGATCTGGGTGGAGAGCCACCATCCAGGGCTGTAAGTGTTAACCGGAGCTCAGCCTCCTCCTCTCGGTCCAGCGCTTTGTCCAGTACCAGCTCTGGATATTTCCTACCATCACTGCGTTTGCGGGTGAGGACCCGAAAATAGGGGTTGGGGCTGATTACATAGCTCTCAATATTATTTTGGCCTACATCTAAGTCCTCAGCATTCTTCAAAGGAAACGTAGTCCCAGGAGGACTGCTCTCTGACACTTTTACCAGCATTTCTTTGTCCAGAAATACTGGAGAGTGGTCGTTTATGTCTGTTACTTGTAGCTCAGCTTGAAAAAACTCTAAGGGACTCTCTAGCAACACCTGGAAACGTAGCACACAGGGCTCTGTGTGACCGCACAGATCCTCACGGTCCAGTTTCTCATTTAGCAACAAATCCCCGGTCTCCTGGTTGAGCTGTAAATGCAGTTTGTTCCCTCTGGAAATAACTGTAACTCCCCGCCTGGAGAATTCCCTCTGCTCCAGACCTAAGTCCTTTGCTAAATTTGTTACAAAGGTGCTACCCTCGGTTTCCTCCACCACAGAATAGCGCCTAGGTTCCGCCGCGCCCGCCAGAGATAAGCCCAAAAGAAGAAAGGAAAAAGGGACTTGCCTTTGTCTGCAAACGAACTTCCTGCTGGCCTCCATTGTTCTTGCTTTGTTCAGCTTCTGGGGAGAAGGGTTCTGTGGGACTGTAAAGTCACCAGTATCTGAGGCTATGGTTATTCCACAGATGCCTCCGAATTTTTCCAGGGAGTAGTCCTTTCCAGAGGACCCAACCTTCCTCTCTTAGCATCCGAGCTTCCCGTGGGTTTCCAGGTTCTGCGGCTTTTTGCCGGGTAATGGAGCAGTAGCTGCGGTTCTGGTTTGTACCTTCTTATCCTGCAGCGCCACCACGCGTCCTCACAGGATCTTACATTTAGTGGGACGATGCAATATTCCCAACTCTGCCCGTGTGTACCCAGGGGCTATGTAAGGTTACACCACCACCGTTAATATAGCCGGACGTTATTAAGCGGACAACTGCCCGAAGGAGAAATTACATTAATCTTTCAACAATGCTAACTGAGTTTGGGGCAAAATGAATTATTTAGGTAACAGTCTAGCTTGGCAAAAAGAATATATGCAGAAAATTTCAAATATAATTGGAGTTAAATGTAACAGGCAATATTTAGATGTTTATACTGTTATTTCCATGAGCCACAGAATACTTAGTAGCTGTGAACCTTGAACAAATTATTTAATCGTTCTTCTTTAGTTTCTTCATCTGTAATGTGAGGATTATAAGGGCACCTACTACATCGGGCTATTGTGAATTTTCCACCTTACAGATAAGGAAACTGATGCAAAGAGAGATTAACTTTATACATAAACCATATACCCACTATATAGCAATTTGATACCACCAGGTAGCTAACTATACATGAATCCATTAATATAACTAGAAAAACACCTCAAAATTCAAATGGTGAAAGACTACATAAGCATGACTATGTCAGATAGAGAACTTATGTCAAATAACAAAGGTAAACAGACAAGGAAAGGCTGGAGAGTTTGTCTAAATAGCGACATAATCTGTAACAACTGGTAATTTTGTTTCTGGGGAAGGATGTTCTTTTTTGGTACCTCCACTTCTAACAGGATCAATTTAAAAAATCTTTTATTCTGAATTTTTTCATATCTTATAAAAGAAGAGTATAATGAACCACCAAGTACTCAGTACTAGCTTCAACTATTATCAACGTTTTGCCATAATTCTTGACTCTATCCCTCCAACATTTCACATTCCAGGTAAACCGTATTTTCACCCACAAATACTTCACTATACATTTCTTTAAATGTATAATGACTTTAAGTGACTCTAAAAATGCCCTTAACTATAATGCCATCCAGACAAGACCCACACATTGCATTTGATTGGTAGATCTCTTAAGACCTTGCCTAGTGTAGACTTCCCTCCTCCCGTTTTTCATGCCATTCATTTGTTGGAGAAATTGGGTAATGTTACCCTGAGAACGTGAAAGCAATTTAAGATTTTACTGCTGTGAGGTTTTTTTTTCTTTGCTCTTAGATGCTATCCCACCAGTAATATAAAGTAATACTGCCTTTATTAGAGTTACAAGCACTAGTTTATAACATTTTCAGAAAATAACCATGCAAAAATTGTCTAGATATTTTAAAAACTAGAATAGGTTTTAAATTTTTATAAAAAAGTGCTTCTCCTTAACTCTTCAGCATTTCTAAAAATTTTAATGATTATCTATGTTTCTTTGATATTATACATTTAAAACAATTTTTTCTTAAATATTCCTGATTCAGCAGTATACGATAATTAATAGAAAACTTTCAAAAGTAAACTTTCAAATCAGGAAAATGTCCTACAAATGTTAAGTATGGGTGACTGTAGAAAAATTCTACAATGTGAAGAAACCAATTAATTACTGATGAAATCAAAATTATGTAATATTCCTACTCAGGACAATTAATCATTTTCTGTGAAACAAAAGTCATATGTTCTGAAGACAAGGAGAAGGCACAAATTGCCCTTTCAATTTTGTTTTTTACTTGAGATTTGGACAGATCAGATCATTAGTAATAATAGCTGAAAACTGACCCAGAAAAGCAGGATTACTGGTTTATAAGAAAATAAACCATAGATAAATATGTACTTATTTCTAAATATAGAAAAGATTGAACAGCAGTATGAATATGATGAAAAGAACTCCTCTCCTTAATTAGGAAGAAACTTGCCAGGTGATATCTAATAAGACAAAATGGTATGAAGTCCGAGCAGGGTCACTGACCCACAGTCAGACAGATCTAGGACAGATGCCCAGTTTTGTCACTTGTTAGGATCTTAGTGAACATGCTGAATCTCTAAGACCATCTATTTTGTCATTCCTAAAATATGACACCTCATATACTTCTTCTGAGATTAAAAGTGTTAAAATAATGTATGATGCACAAAAAGCATTATTTAAAAATGCTTAAAAAGATACTCGACAGTCTATGTTTCTGAGACTACAGTAGGTACACTCATACAGCATTCTAATCAACTCAGAAAGAGAAAATCGCAGTAGAAATAGAAAACAACAGAAAGCAATTTAAAATATCTCAAACAAGACTTACCATTTAATAAACTGTATATTAAGCGTAATTATTTGACATAAAACATTACACATATACATGGCATGCTTTGAGAAGGGTTTCTGGTACTAAATGTAGATTCTTCTCTATGCACAGAAATTTATTTCTTGACTTCAAGAGTACATATTTGAAATGATCTAAAGACACTCTTCTACAGGCAGCTCAAGATAAGTTCCTAATTAGAAATGCATTCACAGACACACATTTAGTTTTCATTCTTTATCAGAAACCCAAATTATTCCGAAATGGGGAATTTTCTTCGCCTTCCCTACCTGTGTTCTGGGGTAGGAATTTGGGGATAATTGGTTTCAGGAACTTGAACTCATTTGTCCCAGAACCTCCCGACAGACACACCTCGTACTGGTAGCTCTGGGACAGGGTCCCGGTGCCGCTCACGTCCACCAGATGCCCCGGAAAGGGACCCTCGGGCACCGAGCAGCGACCCACCGACGCCGCCCTGCTCCTCCTGCACAGCCGCACCGCCACGAACAGGAGCACCGAGAACAGGAAGAGCGACGACACCGAGGCCAACGCCACCACCAGGTAGACTGTGAGCGAGTCGGCCTGGGCCTGGGCCGGGGCCGCCTCCGGGAGCGGCAGGTAGGGCTGGGAGAAGCCGTCCACCAGGAGCACGTGCAGCGTGGCGGTGGCCGAGCGCGGGGGCTCGCCATTGTCCTTGACCAGCACCACCAGCCTGTGCTTGGCCGCGTCGCGCTCACTCAGCAGCCTGGCAGTGCGCACCTCGCCATTGTGCGCCCACACGCCGAACAGCCCGGGCTCCGTGGCCTTGAGCAGCTGGAACGACAGCCAGGCGTTCTGGCCCGAGTCGCCGTCCACCGCCACCACCTTGCTCACCAGGTAGCCCGGCTCGGCCGCCCGGGGCACCAGCTCGGTGCAGGGCGCGGAGCCGTTCTGCAGCGGGTACAGCACGAAGGGCGAGTTGTCGTTGGCGTCCAGCACCAGCACGCGCACCAGCGCCTCGCTGCTCAGCGCCGGGGAGCCGCGGTCTGTGGCGCCCACGCGGAACTCGAACGCCTGCAGGGCCTCGTAGTCCAGCGCCCGGAGGGCGAACAGGTGTCCGTTGTCCGCGTTGATGGAGACCAGGGAGGCGAGGGGCAGGTGCAGGTCCTGGGGCGGCAGCAGCGAGTAGGTGACCTGGGCGTTGCTGCCTGAGTCTCTGTCTGTGGCGCTGACGCTGCCGATGTGCAGGGCGGGGCTGTTGTTCTCGCGGACGAACAGGGTGTAGGAGGTTTGAGTGAAGGCGGGGGCGTTGTCATTGATGTCGGAGACCCACACGGTAATGTTGTACTCGGTTTTCAGCCTGGGTGTTCCCAAGTCGGTGACGGTGATGGTGACGTTGTAGTCAGTGTTCCTCTCTCGATCCAAGGGTTTCTCTGTTACCAGAGTATAAAAGCTCTCTACAGATGGCTTCAGGATGAACGGTAGATCGTCCTGGATGGAGCACACGGTTTTTCCGTTGTTCCCAGAATCTCTGTCTCTAATTCTGAAAACAGCCACGACTGTCTCGGGTGAGTTTTCTGGAATTGGGCTATTAAGTGAAGACAGGAGCAGCTCGGGTTGATTATCGTTTACATCTGTTACCTCAACCACCACAGTGCATTTTCCGGAAAGCCCGCCGCCGTCTTTGGCCTGAATAGTTAATGTGTAAGTCTGAATTGCCTCATAGTCCAATTCACTCTTAAGATAAAGATTGCCAGATGTTGAATTGAGTTGAAACGTTTTGAGAATTCTTTCAGTGGCATAAAAAAATGCATAGGCTATTTCCCCATTACTTCCGGTGTCTAAATCTCTAGCGGACACGGAGACAACCATGGAACCAACCGGGCTATTTTCGGGCGCCTGCACCTCGTAGAGCGACTGCACAAATTCAGGGGCATTGTCATTTATGTCTACAACCATGATGTGCACAAGGGCGGTCCCCGATCTGGGCGGAGAGCCGCCATCCAAGGCCATGAGGACTAAACTGAGCTCTGGAATGTCTTCCCGATCCAGCGCTTGGTTCAGCACCAATTCGGGATAGATATTCCCCTCCCCACTATCGCGGACTTTAATATGGAAATAGGCATTGGGGCTGATGGTGTAGTTACTCAGGCTATTGGTTCCAACATCTGAATCCTGTGCACTTTCTAGGAGAAATGCTGCCCCTGGAGTGGCGCTTTCTAATATTTTCAAGGAAATCTCTCTATCTAGAAATACTGGAGAGTGATCATTGATGTCTCTGACCCATAGTTCAGCAAGGAAAATCTGAAAAGGCTTTTCCAGTAACAACTGGAAAGGCAGCACACAGGGCTCTCTGGGTCCACACAGTTCCTCTCGGTCCAATTTCTCATTTAGAAGTAAATCACCAGTAAGCGAATTGAGCAGTAAAAATTGCATGTTCTGGTCTGAAATAATTCTAGTTCCCCGGGCTGTCAGTTCCCCTACCCCTAACCCTAGGTCTTTTGCCAGGTTGGTAAGAAAAGCACCTCTCTCGGTTTCCTCCGCCACAAAATACCGAAGCGGTTCGGCGCCAGCCAAAGACATTCCCAGAAATACACAAAGAAATAGGACTTGCCTTTTCTGCACAGCACGCTTCACTCCGGCCTCCATTCTTCCTTGGATCAGTCTTTTCAAAATGACTTCCACTCAGTCTCCAGCAGCTCTCACAAATGGCAGCAGCCGAATCTTTTGAAAAGAGCTGAGTAACAGCAATGTTTGTGGGGAAGGATCCTCACTTTCCCCCAATTTCTATTACCACGGTTTCTTTTCCTATACTTTTCTGGTCAGATTTCCCCTTTACTCTGGCATCTGTAACATCCTTTCTTTGCAAAGGTATTTCTCTCTCTCTTTTTAGGCAGCAGCGCCACCTTGCGTTTTGTGAATGTTATTCCCGTTCTCAAGACTGGAACAAAAAGATGGCGGATTGAAGGAATTCTGCAACCAGAGTGACTTGCCCCTGCTATCTTTGCTGTTTCATTCCATCGTTATCCTCAAATGGTCACAAAAACGCTAGTAAGTAATAGCTGATGTTGTTTTCCCCTGTGATAATCTGGATTCGTAGAAAAATTAATCAGTTGTCTTCTTAAATCCAGGGGCATGAAACTAAACCCTGGTTCCCCACCGAAATCTAAGAAAACCTCCTATTTTAAAAATGGATAGTAAAAAAATATATGAGAAAATGAAGCCTCTTCCCTGAAGTTAACAAATATTGGTTGAGGACATTTTATTTACTTGTAAAGTATTTTAACAATAATGATGCAGATATGGCAGATTAATTGACCTTTTTTTCAATTTCTTGTGAATTAAACAATTCTTCCACTTTCCAGGTCTCACCTCTTTACCTGTGATATTTCTTGGAACACTTTCTGCCTCCCCCAATCCAACCTTCATCCTTCATCTGCTTTAAGTATTATATAGAAATTATTGTTCATCTATAATTTCAGTGACTAGAATTTCCAATATCCAATGAATACTCTTAAAATGAGTAATAGCAAGTATGTCAATCTTGCATTTATGAAAGTCCTTCTAGCATTTCATCTTCAACTATGATGGTTGATCTCAATTTGAGGTGAATACTCCTTTTTAGAATCAAGAAGGTTTTCTTTTTCTTTATTCTTTCATATTTTGAAGTAATTTTGATAGTTATTGAAATAATACATTTATTCTTTAGTTTCTAAATTATTGAGTTATTGACATAAATGACATTTAACTCTAATGTATTATTGTTTTAGTGCACAGATAGATCTGATGTGTCAACATGGTTTTAGAATTTTTCTAGTTCATGTTGTTTTCCTTGTGTGTGTTTGCCTTTTATAGCTTTAATATTAAACGATTATACTGGTATCATAGAATGTGTTAAAGAGCTTTTTATCTGTTTTTATACAATGGTTTTAATAATTATGTTATAATATGTTTCTACACGCTTAATTCCAACTTGCCTTTTGAACTGGTTGGGTTTGGTGGCTTCACTTGTAGTAGACCTGTGACGACCATTTACATTTTACCTTTGGTTTAAGTACAATCTGTTCAGGTTCTGTACTTTTAAGTAATTTGTATTTTATTTTGAAAATAATTTTATCTAGTTTGCAAATTGCTTGGCATTTTTTCATTGTGCTATTTACCTTTAATTGTATCCCTATTCTTATTAGTTATGTTTAGCATTTTATCTCCTTTTTATTCTCGGTGAGGCTTGCAAGAGCTCTACTTTACTGATATTTTGAAATGCATTGTTTCAAAATAGTATATGACCTTGCTCCAAAGTTAAATAGCACTAGGAGACTTATAATAAAATACGAGGCTTTTCTACCCTTTTTCTCCTCACTTTTCTTAGCTCCTCTCCTAAGTTGTAGCCATTTAAAAACTCTTTTAGTTACCTCTTCTGCCACTAATCTGTTTTCTGATGTATTTTGATTAATTTTAGAAATTGTCAATTGACTATTATGTTGGATTACATTTTAGGTATTTTAGTTTTCTTTTACTTACAATATATTGGGAATGTTATCATATATTAATTATAGTTTCTTTCTCACTTTTTTCTTGAAGTTAACAATTGCCTTGCCTTTTTATTTACTTGATTTTTTTTATCCCTATCACTTATTCATCCCACAGATACAATTGCCTCTCAATACAATTTTCCCTGTAGTCATTTCCATTCCTCCTGAGACTTCAATTTTCCTTTAAGTTGGGTAGTTGCTCTCTATGCCTACTGCACAGTTATCATTCTGGATTTTTTCTTTGCTGTCATTCTTGGAATTATTTGCTTTTTATTCTGGATGTGTTTGCTATTTCTGGGATTTTATATCTTGCCCTTTTTCGGTTTACTTTATGGCATTACTAGATCACATCCTCCAATAGGTTTATATGATTGAAAAGCTGCTACAATGTTAGGAGGATTGCTAGTGATATCCTTCAAAATCCCTGTCTCTTGAGTCAAACAGCTCCTTCCTGGACTAGTTGTTCATTATGCCTGAGACTCAGTTTTCATCCTGGGATCATCCGTCAGCATCACCCAGAGATTCGTTTCACTTCTGTCCTGTTTTGGATCTTCTCATCTGTGCTTCTTCTGTCTTTCCCGTTCTTGAATTAGGTTCTCATTTTGATAGATATTTTCCAGTAGTTTTCAGGGAAGGGTGTTTAAGAGTTCAATGTTTTCATAATCTTAAACATACTAAAATATCTTTATTCCGCCTTCAAATGTAATTAGTAGTTTGACTAGGTATAGAGTTTTAGGTTGAAAATAATTTTTCTTCAGAATTTTTGTTTTGCCAATGAGCTCTCTAAACCAATCTGTTTGCTAAGAAGTCTGAAGCTTATCTTATTTCTTATCTTCTATATGTGACCTACATTTTATTTTGTTGTTGTTGTAGTGTTTTGTCATTATCCCATGCATTTTAAAATTAAACAATCATATGTTTCGGCTTAGGCTTATTTTCCATCCATTGTGAAGTATAATTGATGAGATATTTCATCTAGGAAGCTAATTTCCTTCTGAAATCTCCTTAAATTATTTCATTAATAATCCAACCCCCATTCCTTTTTTAGAATTCTTATAGTTCAGATGTTAGTCCTCTGTACAGTTCTCTAATTTCTTCCCCCCCTCCCCCGCTCCTGCTTGCCATTTAAAAATATTTTTGCAGTATTTTCTAGAACATTTTCTTAACTTTATCTTTAAGCCCTTATATTGAGATTTTAATTTCTTTATTAGGTTAGTATTTTCCAAGAGCTGTTTCTTTTTTTAAAAAAGAGCTCTCTTTTGGGGTGTATTTTTTAAATGTAATAACTCCTTTTTTCACCTGATGATATTAATAACTTTAACCCCAAGTTTTCCTCTTGCTGACACCTTTCCATTTTCTCCAAGTTACCTTTTTACTCTTTGCTTTATTTTGATTTCTGTATTCCCTTTCAGAAACTTTCTTCATGTGTATGTTCTTATTTAGTTTGGGAGACTACAGAACTGAGTGATGGCTCTGAGTAGGCTGGTATGCTTGTCCACTTTGATTTTTCATTCCAAAGTAAACTGAGAGCACTGATGAATAGGGAAAACTCAGTGTCAGTGTGATCAGGTCTTTCCAGTTAGACTGGCCAGATTACCTCACTCTTTAAAATCCCCTATCCAGAAGGAAAAGACATAGATTGAAAAAGGTGAAGGATTAAGTGGGTGAAAAGGAGTACAGTTTTGCACCAGGATAGGATGTTATGCTTAATATCAAACAACTTCCCCAAATCTCAACAGCTTAACACAATGAAAGTTGATTTCTTTCTCATATAACCTATATAGTTCAGCCTGGGGCCTTCCTCACAGCAGTCAGTCAAGGATCTAAACTTGTGGAGATCATCTCCACATACAGTTTCATGATCACCATAGTAGGAAAAGATGTGTTTAACCATGCCTCCAAAAACTTCAGCCCAGAATGGATATATATCACTTCTCACATTTTATTAGCCAAAGGAAATTACATGGCTACACATAATTTTAAAAAGAAATAGAATTGAAATTCTGTCCTATGTCTAAGAAGGAGGGAACCAAAATATTTGTAATTGGTTCTAATGACTGTCATAGCATTTGAACAATCAACCAGAATTCAATATTTAGTTGGTTACTTACTTTTGCTACACATACTACCCTTGTTCTCAATTTTGTTGGTGGAACCCCTCATATAATAACCCTCCTTTTGCACTCATCAGAAAATAAAACTCCAGTCTTACATTAGGGCCAAGGGGGTAGGTAGGTTACTCAGTGACTGAAGTAGGGAAATGTGATCTGACTGCTAGAGATTTAATTGCTTTACAGGAAGCTTTAACACAATCCTTCTTACTGGGCATGTTACCATCATTTCCAGAGGATCTAGGGTTGACATTTCAGATGCCTCTAGAAGTCCCATCATCTAAACAGAATTGATTCTAGTCCCGTAGTCTAAACAGGATTGATTCTCAGCTCTTCCCACTTCACGATTGGGAGTTGACTTGTGAGGTTTACTAAGTCATTCATCTGTTTTCCAACTTAAAAGAGTTTTCCCTGTTGTCTTCTACATTATTCTCTTCATCCTCATTAAGTTTATGTTCTTGAAAATATGTTTACTTTTTGTTAGTGCATTTTTAGAGGAAGCCAAATTAAAGGTGCATATGTAATTCACCAATTTTATGTAGAACCTAGAATATCCTTGGCTTTTTCAAAGAAATCAATTTTTGTTTAATTGGACAAATCTTATGTGGTTTTATTCTATTTAATTAATTTGTGCTTTTATATTTTTAATTCATTCCTTTTATTTTCCTTATTTTTAAAATTCTTTTTTGATTCTTGAGTCATTTACTTTGTCCCTTTGTTCTCAACAAACTGTGATTTCTAAAATACGTATGTAAGTCTTACATTTTTCTCTACCCTTTTACTCTTACCTTACATATCACTTTATCAGTTTACCCTGAAGTTCCAGACAAAGCCATAATAACAATGACTTAAACAAAATATCAAAGAAGGCCAGTGGCTGAAATGCACTCTATGGTATCTGGAACCCAATCTCATTCCATCATTGATTTGCTGTCTTCGGGACATGACCTTTACTTCATTATCCAATATAGCTGCCTGATATCCAGTCATTACATCTCCATTCATGCCAACAAATAAGAGGAAGGAAAGGGTGTGATTTCATTTTTTTGCATATTTTCATTTTAAAAGATTACTTCCGTAAGGTATTCCATGGCACTTGTGCTTCTGTCTCACAGTCTGTAATTTAGTGACAAGATGACACCTGGCCTCAAGAGAGGCTGAAAAATGTAATCTATAGCCCACATACCTACATAAGCAGATAAAAATAAGAAGTATA